ACACACTCGACACACTCGACACTCACTCACACACACTCGACACACTCGACACACTCGACACACTCACACCACTCGACACACTCGACACACTCGACACACTCGACACACTCGACACACTCGACTCACTCGACACACTCGACACACTCACACACTCGACACACTCGACACACTCACACACTCACACACTCACACACTCGACACACTCGACACACTCACACACTCGACACGCTCCACACTCGACACACTCGACACACTCACACACTCACACACTCGACACACTCGACACACTCACACACTCGACACGCTCCACACTCGACACACTCGACACACTCGACACACTCGACACACTCACACACTCGACACACTCGACACACTCACACACTCGACACACTCGACTCACTCACACACTCGACACACTCGACACACTCGACACACTCACACACTCGACACACTCACACACTCGACACACTCGACACACTCGACACACTCGACACACTCACACACTCGACACACTCGACACACTCGACACTCGACACACTCGACACACTCGACACACTCGACACACTCACACACTCGACACACTCGACACACTCACACACTCGACACACTCGACTCACTCACACACTCGACACACTCCACACACTTGACACACTCACACACTCGACACACTCACACACTCGACACACTCGACACACTCACACACTCGACACACTCGACACACTCACACACTCGACACACTCGACACACTCACACACTCGACACACTCGACACACTCGACACACTCGACACACTCACACACTCGACACACTCACACACTCAACACACTCGACACACTCGACACACTCGACACACTCACACACTCGACACACTCACACACTCGACACACTCGACACACTCACACACTCGACACACTCCACACACTCGACACACTCACACACTCGACACACTCACACACTCGACACACTCACACACTCGACACACTCGACACACTCGACACTCGACACACTCGTACACTCGACACACTCACACACTCGACACACTCGACACACTCGACACACTCACACACTCACACACTCACACACTCGACACACTCGACACACTCACACACTCACACACTCGACACACTCGACACACTCACACCACTCGACACGCTCCACACTCGACACACTCGACACACTCACACACTCACACACTCGACACACTCACACACTCGACACACTCACACACTCACACACTCGACACACTCGACACACTCACACACTCACACACTCACACACTCGACACACTCGACACACTCACACACTCGCACACTCGACACGTTTACACACTCATACACTCGACACGCTCGACACACTCGACACACTCGACACACTCACACACTCGACACACTCGACACACTCGACACACTCACACACTCACACACTCGACACACTCACACACTCGACACCCTCACACACTCGACACACTCGACACGCTTACACACTCACACACTCGACACGCTCGACACACTCGACACACTCGACACACTCACACACTCACACACTCGACACACTCGACACACTCACACACTCGACACACTCGACACACTCACACACTCGCACACTCGACATGCTTACACACTCACACACTCGACACGCTCGACACACTCGACACACTCGTACACTCGACACACTCGCACACTTGACACGCTATCACACTCGACACACTCACACACTCACACACTCGACACACTCGACACACTCACACACTCGACACACTCACACACTCGACACACTCACACACTCGACACGCTCGACACACTCGACACACTCACACACTCGACACACTCGCACACTCGACACACTCGCAGACTCGACACACTCGGACACTCGACACACTCACACACTCGACACACTCGACACACTGACACACTCGACACACTCGACACACTCACACACTCGACACACTCCACACTCGACACACTCGACACACTGACACACTCGACACACTCGACACACTCACACACTCGACACACTCCACACTCGACACACTCACACACTCGACACACTCGACACACGCTATCACACTTGACACGCTATCACACTCGACACACTCGTACACTCGACACACTCACACACTTGACACCCTCACACACTCGACACACTCGACACGCTTACACACTCACACACTCGACACGCTCGACACACTCGACACACTCGACACACTCACACACTCACACACTCGACACACTCGACACACTCACACACTCGACACACTCGACACACTCACACACTCGCACACTCGACATGCTTACACACTCACACACTCGACACGCTCGACACACTCGACACACTCGTACACTCGACACACTCGCACACTTGACACGCTATCACACTCGACACACTCACACACTCACACACTCGACACACTCGACACACTCACCACACTCGACACACTCACACACTCGACACACTCACACACTCGACACGCTCGACACACTCGACACACTCACACACTCGACACACTCGCACACTCGACACACTCGCAGACTCGACACACTCGGACACTCGACACACTCACACACTCGACACACTCGACACACTGACACACTCGACACACTCGACACACTCACACACTCGACACACTCCACACTCGACACACTCGACACACTGACACACTCGACACACTCGACACACTCACACACTCGACACACTCCACACTCGACACACTCACACACTCGACACACTCGACACACGCTATCACACTTGACACGCTATCACACTCGACACACTCGTACACTCGACACACTCACACACTTGACACGCTATCACACTCGACACACTCACACACTCGACACGAGGTCGAGGGTTCGATCACGACGCCTGACGCCTGCCGCTGTGCGTTTAGAGTCGCAGTCTCACTCTGAATAGCATCATTAGCGTGTAGTGTAGTGTGTAGTGTAGTGTAGTGTGTAGTGTAGTGTGTAGTGTAGTGTGTAGTGTAGTGTAGTGTGTAGTGTAGTGTGTAGTGTAGTGTATAGTGTAGTGTGTAGTGTAGTGTGTAGTGTAGTGTGTAGTGTAGTGTGTAGTGTATAGTAGTGTATAGTGTAGTGTGTAGTGTAGTGTATAGTGTAGTGTGTAGTGTAGTGTGTAGTGTAGTGTGTAGTGTAGTGTGTAGTGTAGTGTGTAGTGTGTAGTGTAGTGTGTAGTGTAGTGTGTAGTGTAGTGTAGTGTGTAGTGTAGTGTGTAGTGTAGTGTGTAGTGTGTAGTGTAGTGTGTAGTGTAGTGTAGTGTGTAGTGTAGTGTGTAGTGTAGTGTGTAGTGTAGTGTATAGTGTAGTGTGTAGTGTAGTGTGTAGTGTAGTGTAGTGTGTAGTGTATAGTGTAGTGTATAGTGTAGTGTATGGTGTAGTATATATTGTAGTGTATAGTGTAGTGTAGTGTGTAGTGTAGTGTGTAGTGTATAGTGTAGTGTAGTGTGTAGTGTAGTGTGTAGTGTAGTGTGTAGTGTAGTGTGTAGTGTGTAGTGTAGTGTGTAGTGTATAGTGTAGTGTATAGTCTATAGTGTAGTGTGTAGTGTAGTGTGTAGTGTGTAGTGTAGTGTGTAGTATAGTGTGTAGTGTAGTGTATAGTAGTGTACAGTAGTGTATAATGTAGTGTATAGTAGTGTACAGTAGTGTATAGTGTAGTGTATAGTGTAGTGTAGTGTGTAGTGTATAGTGTAGTGTATAGTCTATAGTGTAGTGTGTAGTGTAGTGTGTAGTATAGTGTGTAGTGTAGTGTATAGTAGTGTATAGTAGTGTATAGTGTATGGTGTAGTGTATAGTGTAGTGTATAGTAGTGTATAGTGTAGTGTATAGTGTAGTGTATAGTGTAGTGTATAGTGTAGTGTGTAGTGTAGTGTATAGTGTAGTGTATAGTGTAGTGTAGTGTGTAGTGTATAGTGTAGTGTATAGTAGTGTATAGTGTAGTGTACAGTGTAGTGTGTAGTGTAGTGTAATGTGTAGTGTAGTGTATAGTGTAGTGTGCAGTGTAGTGTATAGTGTAGTGTATAGTGTAGTGTGTAGTGTATAGTGTAGTGTATAGTGTAGTGTGTATTGTAGTGTATAGTGTAGTGTATAGTGTAGTGTATAGTAGTGTATAGTGTAGTATATAGTGTAGTATATTGTAGTGTGTAGTGTAGTGTATAGTGTAGTGTATAGTGTAGTGTATAGTGTAGTGTATATTGTAGTGTATAATGTAGTGTGTAGTGTAGTGTATAGTGTAGTGTATAGTGTAGTGTATATTGTAGTGTATAGTGTAGTGTGTAGTGTAGTATAGTGTATGGTGTAGTATAGTGTATGGTGTAGTGTAGTGTATAGTGTATCGTGTAGTGTATAGTGTAGTATACTAGTTCAGCACTAACAGGTTGTGTGTTGGAGAGTAAACCCACTAGGAGAGTAAACCCACTGCTGGTATCATCACACGTGGCCAGTCCGCTTCTGAGAGCGAGCTATCACGGATCAGAGGGCCACACCTTCGATCCTCCGGTTGCCACGGTTGGCTACGTACGGCGCTAAAGAAGTTCAATGCACGTACTAACCTCGTGAGGTTAAAATACAAAAAAAAAATTCATTCCCGAAAAGGACTCAATTGGGATCACAAGCAGCACTGGAAATCTACTCCGCTCCTGCATAACTGCTGCAAGCCACGAATTGGTACCAACTTTATCGACCCCCCCCCCCCCCAGCAGGATGGGGTGGATGATGGGCCGAGTAAAAACCTAACCCCTCCCACGCGGTGACCTGAGTTGGATTCGCCCCGCCAGCCCTGGGCCTTCCCTAGGTCTGCTCAGAATCAAAAACGAGTACCTGGAGCAACGTGCAAACCATCAGAAAATAGGGGGGGGGGTGGTGGTGGTGGGTTGAGGTTGGGGTGGGGTCTGGGGGAAGACAAAGGCGGCCGGGCGTTTGGTACCGCCTCTTTGTGGGCCCCATCCGGTCTGTGGAGGGTCACGTGGGGGACCCGTGTCTCGCTTGTCCAGGCGGGCGTGTCGGTGAGGAGGATGGAGAAGTTCCTCATGAACGACGACATCGACGCCGCGTCCATCCAGAAGAACCCAGACCTGGGTGAGTGGAGACGCACGCCATCACCGTTGTCATCATCATTATCGCAATCACCGTCATCGCCATCACTATCGTCTTCACCATAATCGTCAGTACCATTATCACGATCGTCGTCATCATCATCATCATAACCATCGTTATCATCATCACCATTGCAATCATTTTCATCACCACCGTTGAGTCTATGGGCAGTGTTGAGTCTATGGGCAGTGTTGAGTCTATGGTGCAGTGTTGAGTCTATGGTGCAGTGTTGAGTTTATGGTGCAGTGTTGAGTCTATTGGTAGTGTTGAGTCTATGGTGCAGTGTTGAGTCTATTGGTAGTGTTGAGTCTATGGGCAGTGTTGAGTCTATGGGTAGTGTTGAGTTTATGGGTAGTGTTGAGTTTATGGGCAGTGTTAAGTCTATGGGCAGTGTTGAGTCTATGAGCAGTGTTGAGTCTATGGGCAATGTTGAGTCTATGGGCAGTGTTGAGTCTATGGGTAGTGTTGAGTCTATGGGCGGTGTTGAGTCTATGGGCAGTGTTGAGTCTATGGGTAGTGTTGAGTCTATGGGCAGTGTTGAGTCTATGTGCAGTGTTGAGTCTATGGGCAGTGTTGAGTTTATGGTGCAGTGTTGAGTCTATGGGTAGTGTTGAGTCTATGAGCAGTGTTGAGTCTGTGGTGCAGTGTTGAGTCTATGGGTAGTGTTGAGTCTATGGGCAGTGTTGAGTCTATGGGCAGTGTTGAGTCTATGGGCAGTGTTGAGTCTATGGTGCAGTGTTGAGTCTATGGGCAGTGTTGAGTCTATGGGCAGTGTTGAGTCTATGGGCAGTGTTGAGTCTATGGGCGGTGTTGAGTCTATGAGCAGTGTTGAGTCTATGGGCGGTGTTGAGTCTATGGGCGGTGTTGAGTCTATGAGCAGTGTTGAGTCTATGGGCGGTGTTGAGTCTATGGGCAGTGTTGAGTCTATGGTGTAGTGTTGAGTCTATGGGCAGTGTTGAGTCTATGGGCAGTGTTGAGTCTATGGGCGGTGTTGAGTCTATGGGCGGTGTTGAGTCTATGAGCAGTGTTGAGTCTGTGGGCAGTGTTGAGTCTATGGGCAGTGTTGAGTCTATGGGGCAGTGTTGAGTCTATGGGCAGTGTTGAGTCTGTGGGTAGTGTTGAGTCTATGGGCAGTGTTGAGTCTATGGTGTAGTGTTGAGTCTATGGGCAGTGTTGAGTCTATGGGCGGTGTTGAGTCTATAGGCAGTGTTGAGTCTATGGGCAGTGTTGAGTCTATGGTGTCGTGTTGAGTCTATGGGCAGTGTTGAGTCTATGGGCAGTGTTGAGTCTATGGGCGGTGTTGAGTCTATGGGAAGTGTTGAGTCTATGGTGCAGTGTTGAGTCTATTGGTAGTGTTGAGTCTATGGGCAGTGTTGAGTCTATTGGTAGTGTTGAGTCTATGGGCAGTGTTGAGTCTATGGGTAGTGTTGAGTTTATGGGCAGTGTTGAGTCTATGGGCAGTGTTGAGTCTATGGGAAGTGTTGAGTCTATGGTGCAGTGTTGAGTCTATTGGTAGTGTTGAGTCTATGGGCAGTGTTGAGTCTATGGGTAGTGTTGAGTCTATGGGCGGTGTTGAGTCTATGGGCGGTGTTGAGTCTATGGTGCAGTGTTGAGTCTATTGGCAGTGCTGTGTCTATTGACAGTGTTGAGTCTATTGTGCAGTGTTGAGTCTATGGGCAGTGTTGAGTCTATGGTGCAGTGTTGAGTCTATGGGCAGTGTTGAGTCTATGGGCAGTGTTGAGTCTATGGTGCAGTGTTGATTCTATGGTGCAGTGCTGAGTCTATGGTGCAGTGTTGAGTCTATGGGCAGTGTTGTTGGGGGTGGGGGGGGACGATGTCACCTCCCCTGTCCACTGTTTTGTGCGGTGCCTGCAGATTGCGCAATCCGCATTGAGAACGCCTCGTTCACGTGGGACAGGGAGGACCCACAGCCGACGTTGATAGAGTGAGGGAGCTTCCCCGTCCATCTCTCCGTTCGTCCGTCTCTCCGCCTTTCTCCGCGATGATCGCCTCTGTGCCACACAGGGACAGCCGTCACTGGGGGTGCCCCTAGGCTAGCCTACAGTACACTTGCTATGGCATCCTATGGGCAGTGCTGAGACTTGCTATGGCATCCATAGCAAGTCTACTGAGCTTTCTGTTATTGTTTCAGATTCCGCGCGTGTGTTTGTGTATCCGTTTGTGTGCGTGTGTATGTATGTGTGTATGTGTGTGTATGTGTGTGTATGTGTATGTGTGTGTATATGTGTGTATGTGTGTGTGCATCTGTGTGTGTATCTGTGTGTATGTGTGTTTATGTGTTTGTATCTGTGTGTATGTGTGTTTATGTGTGTGTATGTATGTGTGTATCTGTGTGTGCATCTGTGTGTGTATCTGTATGTGTGTGTATGTGTGTGTATCTGTGTGTGTATGTGTGTGTATGTGCGTGTATCTATGTGTGTATCTATGTGTGTGTATCTGTGTGTATGTGTGTGTATGTGTATCTGTGTGTGTATCTGTGTGTGTATGTGTGTGTGTATGTGTGTGTATGTATGTGTGTATCTGTGTGTGTATGTGTGTGCATCTATGTGTGTGTATGTGTGTGTATGTGTGTGTATGTGTGTGTGTATCTGTGTATGTGTGTGTATGTATGTGTGTGTATGTATGTGTGTATCTGTGTATGTGTGTGTATGTATGTGTGTATCTGTGTGTGTATCTGTGTGTGTATGTGTGTGTTTCTGTATTTGTGTGTATGTGTATGTATTTGTGTTAGCGCTTTGTGATACGAACCTGGCTGATGCCCAACACTGGCGAAGATTATTTGAACAGGTCCTAGGCCTCCCCTAGGTCGACTCAGACTCAAATGATTATCTGTTGTGGTGTGTAAACATCGTCACTGGGGAGACAAAGGCGGCCTGGCGTGGTGTTGGCCACCCACCCCCTCGTGTACCGTGCCGGCCTTGACATGCGCTTGCTAACAGCACTTGCCCCTACAGTTATTTAAGGCAAGACGGGGGATCTTTGTCTTTGTATCTGTGCGTGCACATCTGTGTGTGTCTGTGTGTATCTGTGTGTATCTGTGTGTGTGGGAGGCTGATCGATGCCCGGGTGCGGTCATGGGATGGCTCCCTATTCCTTAACCACGTTATGTATGCCGATGATTTGGTAATAGCTGCTCATTCAGAGGAGGAGTTGGAGACGCTGCTGCTGAGACTGGAGCGTGCCACTAAGAGATGGGGCCTTACCATCAGCCCCACCAAAACTAAGCACCTGCCTGGGTATTTTGTACCATCGGACACTCCACCCCCACAACTCCCAATCAGTGATGGGGCAGTTGTGGAGAGAGTGGAGAGTTTCCCATACCTGGGCAGTGTGCTTATGACCGGCTCGAATTTAACAGCAGAGGTCTCACTCCGAATCAGTCGAGTGGCAATATCTTTTCATCGGTTGCGAAACGCTGTGTGGAAGCTACCTGGTCTGTCGCTCTGCACTAAGCTTCAGGTCTTCTCGGCCACGGTCATTCCCTCCCTTCTCTACGCTTGCAAAACGTGGACCCCCTTAATGGATCATCTTTGCTGGTTAGAAACATTTAGGCTGGCCTGCCTACGATCCATCCTGGGTTTAACCAGGCTGGATTGTGTGAGGAGCTCACAAATCCTTGAAAGATCTGGGCAAAGTCCCATCGGTGAGCTCCTCCGGCAGGCAAGGCTGCGTTGGCTGGGTAATGTAGCCCGCATGCCCAGCCACCGCATGTCAAAACAGCTTTTGTTCGGCCGGATCGAGGGGGCTAAACGGGCGCGGCACGGGCTAGAGAAGAGATGGAGTGATGTGGTACAGGAGGACGTGGAGCTGAGTGGACTTGCAGATGACTGGTACCAGCGGTGTCAAGATCGGCCTCTGTGGAGGAGGCTCGTGAAGGACGCTACTGGGCAGTTGGAGGCAGTCGCCCTCCAACAACAACGGAGGGCGGAGGAGCGACGCTCACAACAACGAGCGGAGCGCCGGGTGGCTAAAGTACAGCAGGTTGGCACAGTAGGGGGCACAGGTGGTTTATCAGCCAGTCGTCTCAGTCATCTCAGTCAGTCGACCCGTGGCACCTGGGTCTGCCACATGACCTCCTGCCAGCGGGCGTTCGACACTTCACGTGGCCTCAAGGTGCACATGGCCTGGCACAAGCGTCGTGGTGACGTCATCGCCACTTAGTGGCGAATGGCGGTTGTTGTTTGTGTGTGTATCTGTGTGTGTATGTGTGTGTCTGTGTGTGTGTGTGTCTGTGTGTGTGTCTGTGTGTGTGTCTGTGTGTGTGTCTGTGTGTGTATGTCTGTGTGTGTATGTCTGTTTGCGTATGTGTGTATCTGTGTGTCTGTGTGTGTATCTGAGTGTGTATCTGTGCGTGTGTGTATCTGTACGTGTGTGTCTGTGTGTGTATCTGTGTGTCTGTGTGTGTGTGTCTGTGTGTATCTGTGTGTGTATGTCTGTGTGTGTCTCTCTGTGTGTGTATCTGTGTGTGTGTCTGTGTGTATCTGTGTGTGTATCTGTGCGTGTGTGTATCTGTGCGTGTGTATCTGTGTGTGTATCTGTGTATCTGTGTGTCTGTGTGTGTATCTGTGTGTGTATCTGTGCGTGTGTGTATCTGTGCGTGTGTGTCTGTGTGTGTATATATGTGTCTGTGTGTGTCTATGTGTAACTGTATGTGTATCTGTGCGTGTGTGTCTGTGTGTCTGTGTGTGTCTGTGTGTAACTGTGTGTGTGTCTGTGTGTGTGTGTGTAACTGTGTGTGACTGTGTGTGTGTCTGTGTGTGTGTATGCAGCCTGTCCCTCGTCATCCCCCACGGCAGCTTGGTGGCCGTGGTGGGCCAGGTTGGCTCGGGGAAGTCCTCGCTCATCGCCGCGTTGCTCGGAGAGATGGAGCGGCTTCACGGGTCCACCGAGTTGAAGGTAAAACTTCTGGACAAGTTCACATTTTGTTTTGTTTGCCAGGTAAGGACCCCCCCCCCCCCCCCCCACACCTGAGCTGCTACGTAGCTCTCTCTTGTGGGAAGCGACCCCAGCCATCACAATCAGCTCAACAAAGTGCTTCATCGTCGTCATCATCATCATGATCATCTTCGTCATCGTCATCATCATCATGATCATCGTCATCATCATCGTCATGGTCATGATCATCGTCATCATCATGATCATAGTCATCATCATCGTCGTCATCATCATGATCATCTTGATCATCTTCGTCATCGTCATCATCATCATGATCATCGTCATCATCATCGTCATCATCATGATCATAGTCATCATCATCGTCGTCATCATCATGATCATCATGATCATCTTCGTCATCGTCATCATCATCATGATCATCGTCATCATCATCGTCATGGTCATGATCATCGTCATCATCATGATCATAGTCATCATCATCGTCGTCATCATCATGATCATCGTCATTGTCATCATCATGATCATCATCTACGTCATCGTCATCATCATCATGATCATCGTCATCATCATCGTCATGATCATCGTCTTCGTCATCATCATCATCGTCATCATCATCATCGTCATCATCATGATCATCGTCATCATCATCATCGTCATCATCATGATCATCGTCATCATCATGATCATCATTATCATCGTCATCATCATTATCGTCGTCATCATGATGATCATCATCATCGTCGTCATCATCAGGATCATCGTAATCATCGTGATCATCATCATGATCATTCTAATCATCATCATGATCATCGTCATCATCGCGATCACCGTCATCATCATCATGGTTCATCGCGTGGAAATCTACAACGGGCAGACAAATTACCCTTCACGGCCGTGACGTTGATTCTAAATGTTAACGCCACTTGCCCCTCACAGTCTGTGAACGCTACACGGGGGACCTTTGTCTTTGTTGACCCGTCTGCTGGACATGCCGGCATCCTTCATAGGCCCTGCTGCTGTTGCTTCTTGCTGCTGCTGCTGCTACTGCTGCTGTTGCTGATACTGCTGCTGCTTGCTGCTGCTGCTGCTTGCTGCTGCTACTGCTGCTGCTGCTTCTTGCTGCTGCTACTGCTTACTGCTGCTGCTTCTTGCTGCTGCTACTGCTTACTGCTGCTGCTTCTTGCTGCTGCTGCTTACTGCTGCTGCTACTGCTGCTGCTACTGCTGCTGCTGCTACTGCTGCTGCTGCTACTGCTGCTACTGCTGCTGCTACTGCTGCTGCTGCTTCTGCTTACTGCTGCTGCTGCTGCTTGCTCCTGCTGCTGCTGCTGCTGCTGCTTGCTGGTTAACGCCTCGTGCCCCCGCTGGTCCATTGAAGGCTACCCTGGTGGGTGGGTGACGCCGGCGTGATCTGGTCACCTCCCCCCCGCAGGGCTCGCTGGCCTACGTGCCCCAGCAGGCGTGGATCCAGAACGCGACGCTGCAGGACAACATCCTCTTCGGAGCGCCGATGGAGCGCGCTCGCTACGGGGAAGTGCTGCAGGCGTGCGCCCTCGTGCCGGACCTCCTCACGCTCCCTGCCGGGGACCAGACGGAGATCGGCGAGAAGGTGGCGGTGGTGGTGGTGGCGGTGGTGGTGGTGGTGGTGATGATGGTGGTGATGGTGGTGGTGACGGTGGTGGTGGCGGTGGTGGTGGTGGTGGTGGTGGTGATGGTGGTGGTGATGGTGGTGGTGGCGGTGGTGGTGGTGACGGTGGTGGCGGTGGCGGTGGTGGTGGTGATGGTGGTGGTGGTGGTGGTGGTGATGGTGGTGGTGGTGGTGGCGGTGGTGGTGGTGGTGGTGATGGTGGTGGTGGTGGCGGTGGTGGTGGTGGTGACGGTGGTGGTGGTGGTGACGGTGGTGGTGGTGGTGGTGACGGTGGTGGTGATGGTGGTGGTGACGGTGGTGGTGACGGTGGTGGTGGTGGTGGTGACGGTGACGGTGGTGGTGACGGTGGTGGGGATGGTGGTGGTGATGTTGACAGTCTAGCTGATGGTGACGATGATGATGACGCTGCCGCTGCTGCTGCCGCTGCTGCTGCTGATGCTGCTGTTGATGCTGATGCTGCTGATGCTGCTGACGACGCTGGCAATGGTGGTGGTGCCGGCAGGGAGTGAACCTGTCAGAGGGACAGAGGCAGCTGTCTACAGCCACGCTGATGATGCTGACCTGATGATGATGCTGATGACAATGATGCCGACGATGATGATGACGATGATGATGACAATGATGATCACGATGATGCTGACGATGATGCTGACGATGATGATGATGATGCTGACGATGGTGATGACGATGATGATCACGATGGTGATGACGATGCTAACGATGATGATGATGATGCTGACGATGATGATGCTGATGACGATGATCACGATGATGATGACGATGATGATGCTGACGATGATGATCACGACGATGCTGACGGCGGCGGTGGTTCCGGCAGGGAGTGAACCTGTCGGGCGGCCAGCGACAGCGTGTGTCGCTGGCACGCGCCCTCTACAGCTCGGCTGACCTCTTCCTGCTGGACGACCCGCTCTCCGCCGTGGACGCCCACGTGGCCAAGCACCTCTTCAGCCACGTCATCGGCCCCCGCGGCCTCCTCAAGGGCAAGGTGAGGTCCTCCTCCTCCTACTCCTCCTCCTCCTCCCTCCTCCCCCCTCCTCCCTCCTCCTCCTCCTCCCTCCTCCTCCTCCCTCCTCCCTCCTCCTCCCTCCTCCCTCCTCCTCCTCCTCCTCCTCCTTCCTCCTCCTCCTCCTCCTCCTCCTCCTCCTCCCTTCTCCTCCTCCTCCCTCCCTCCTCCTCCTCTCTCCTCCTCCTCCTCCTCCTCCTTCCCTCCCTCCCTCCGGCCACACAATAACATCGCTGACATTAATTTTATCACCCGCGCAGACGCGTGTGCTGGTCACCCACTCGGTGTCGGTGCTGCCGCTGGTGGACGTGGTGGTGGTGCTGTCCGCCGGCCGCATCTCCGAGGTCGGGCCCTACCAGCAGCTCGTGAGCCAGGGCCGCCACTTTGCCGACTTCCTGCGAGCGTTCGCCGGGCACCGGACGCCCACGGAGGGGACGACGGAGCGCGACGCAGGCACGGCGGCGTGACCCCGTGACCCCGGGACCCTGTGACCCCGTCACCCCGCATCACTGACCCCGTGAACCCGTGTCACCGTGACCCCATGACCCCGTCAACCCGTGTTAATGTGTCACTGTGAGCCTGCGACCCCGTCACCCCGTGTCACCGTGACCCCGTGACCCCGTGACCCCGCCAAACCCATGTCAATGTGTCCCCATGACCCCGTGTCACTGTGATCTCGTGTCACCGTGTCCCCATGTACCCATGATCCCGTGTCACCGTTACCCCGTGACCCCGTGACCCTGTGACCCCGTCACCCCTTGTCACCGTGACCCCGTTTCCCTGTGTCCCCATGACCAGGTGTCACCGTGATTCCGTGTCACCGTGTCCCCCATGTACCCATTATCTTGTGTCACCGTGACCCTGTGACCCCGTGTCACCGTGACCCCGTGTCACCGTGACCCCGTGTCACCGTGATTCCGTGTCACCGTGTCCCCCATGTACCCATGATCTTGTGTCACCGTGTCCCCATGACCCAGTGTCTCTGTGTCCCTGTGTCTTGGTGACCCCATGACCCCGTGTCTCCATGTCCCAGTGTCTCTGTGTCCCCGTGACCCCGTGACCCAGTGTCCCCATCACCCAGTGTCTCTGTGTCCTCGTGTCTCCGTGCCCCCATATCCCCGTGACTCCGTATCTCCATGTCCCAGTGTCTCTGTGTCCTTGTGTCTCGGTGACCCCATGACCCCGTGTCACCGTGTCCCTGTGTCTCCATATCCCCGTGACCCCATGATCCCGTGTCCCCGTTACCCCGTGTCCCAGTGAGCCCGTGTCCCCTTGTCCGCGTGACCCCGAGTCTCCGTGTCTCCGCGTCCCCTTGACCCCGTGTCCCCGTGACCCCGTAACCCCATGACCTCACGTCTCCGTCATTCCATGACCCCGTTTCCCTGTGTCCCCGTAAACTTGTGTCCAGGTGTCCCAGTGACCCCATGACCCCGTGACCCCATGACCCCGTGTCCCCGTGTCTCCGTGTCCCCGCTAGGCACCGTGCTGGAGGAGGATGAGTTGGCTCCGCTGGACCCGTGTCCCCGTGCGGACGAGCCGCCTGGAGACGCGGTCACCATGACGCTCCGCAGACACAGCAGCCAACGCATGCGGCACGTCTCCCTGTCTCCCTGTCTCCCTGTCTCTGTGTCTCCCTGTCTCTGTGTCTCCCTGTCTCCCTGTCTCCCTGTCTCCCTGTCTCTGTGTCTCCCTGTCTCCCTGTCTCCTTGTCTTCGTGTCTCCTTGTCTTCCTGTCTCCCTGTCTCCCTGTCTCTGTGTCTCCTTGTCTCCCTGTCTCCCTGTCTCCCTGTCTCCCTGTCTCTGTGTCTCCCTGTCTCTGTGTCTCCCTGTCTCCCTGTCTCACTGTCTCCCTGTCTCTGTGTCTCCCTGTCTCTGTGTCTCCTTGTCTCCCTGTCTCTGTGTCTCCCTGTCTCCCTGTCTCTGTGTCTCCCTGTCTCCCTGTCTCTGTGTCTCCCTGTCTCCCTGTCTCCCTGTCTCTGTGTCTCCCTGTCTCCCTGTCTCTGTGTCTCCTTGTCTCCCTGTCTCCTTGTCTCTGTGTCTCACTGTCTCCCTGTCTCCCTGTCTCCCTGTCTCTGTGTCTCCCTGTCTCCCTGTCTCTGTGTCTCCTTGTCTCCCTGTCTCCCTGTCTCTGTGTCTCCCTGTCTCCCTGTCTCTGTGTCTCAATGTCTCCCTGTCTCCCTGTCTCCCTGTCTCCTTGTCTCCCTGTCTCCCTGTCTCCCTGTCTCTGTGTCTCCCTGTCTCCCTGTCTCCCTGTCTCTGTGTCTCCTTGTCTCCCTCTCTCCCTGTCTCCCTGTCTCTGTGTCTCCCTGGTTCCCTGTCTCTGTGTCTCAATGTCTCCCTGTCTCCCTGTCTCCCTGTCTTCATGTCTCCCTGTCTCCCTGTCTCTGTGTCTCATTGTCTCCATGTCTCCCTGTCTCCCTGTCTCCATGTCTTCGTGTCTCCCTGTCTCCATATCTCCTTGTCTTCGTGTCTCACTGTCTTCCTGTCTTCGTGTCTCACTGTCTCCATGTCTCCGTGTCTCCCTGTCTCCATGTCTTCCTGTCTTCGTGTCTCACTGTCTCCATGTATCCCGGCGTCTGCCCATTTCTCCCGCGTATCTCTTCATATGCTGCTCTGTCTTCATGTCTATCATTGTGTCTCCTCGTCTCTTCGTGTGTCTCCCCGTTCCTTCCTACATCTCCCCGTGTCTCCACATGTCTCCCCATGTCTCCCGATGTCTCCCCGTGTCTTTCCGTGTCTCGCCGCGTTTTCCAATGTCTCTCCACATCGCTCCATGTCTCTCTGTGTCTCCCCGTGTCTTTCCGCATCTCTCCATGTCTCTCTGTGTCTCTCCACATCTCTCCGTGTCTCTCTGTGTCTCCCCTTGTCTCCCGGTGTCTCTCCATGTCTCTCCGTGTCTCTCTGTGTCTCCCCGTGTCTCTCCACATCTCTCCGTGTCTCTCTGTGTCTCCCCGTGTCTCTTCACATCTCTCCGTGTCTTTCTGTGTCTCCACATGTCTCACCGTGTCTCTCCGTGTCTCTCCGTGTCTCCCCATGTCTCCCCGTGTCTTTCCGCATCTCTCCATGTCTCTCTGTGTCTCCCCGTTTCTCTCTGTGTCTCTCCACGTCTCCCCATGTCTCCCCGTGTCTCTCCGTGTCTCTCCATGTCTTTCTGTGTCTCTGCACGTCTTCTCGTCTCTCTCGGTGTCATCTTCCCATGTCTCCCCGCGTTTTCCCATGTCTCTCCGTGTCTCTCCGCATCTCTCCGTGTCTCTCTGTGTCTCCCCATGTCTCTCCGTGTCTTCTCGTAATTTCCTGTGTCTCTCCGTGTCTCCCGGTGTCTCCCCGTGTCTCTCCGTGTCTCTCTGTGTCTCCCCACGTATCCCCGTGTCTCTCCATGTCTCCCCGCATCTCTCCGTGTCTCCCTGCGTCTTCCCGTGTCGTCCCGTGTCTCTCTGTCTCTGCATCTCTCCCTGTCTCTCTCCGTCTTTCTCCGTTTGTCCCCCCGTGTCTCTCCGTTTCTCTCCGTGTCTCCCGATGTCTCTCCATGTCTTTCCGTGTCTCGCCATGTCTCTCTGTCTCTGCATCTCTCCCTGTCTCTCTCCGTATTTCTCCGTTTCTCCCCATGTCTCCCCGTGTCTCTCCATGTCTCCCCATGTCTCCCCGTGTCTTTCTGCATCTCTCCATGTCTCTCTGTGTCTCTCCACATCTCTTCATGTCGCCCTGTGTCTCTCTGTCTCTGCATCTCTCCCTGTCTCTCTCCGTCTTTATCCGTGTCTCCCCATGTCCCCCCGTGTCTCCCCACCTATCCCCATGTCCCCCCGTGTCTCCCCACCTATCCCCATGTCTTTCCGTGTCTCCCCGTGTCTCTCTATCTCTGCATCTCTCCCTGTCTCTCTCCGTCTTTCTCCGTTTCTCCCCATGTATCCCCGTGTCTCTCCGTGTCTCCCCGTGTCTCTCCATGTCTCTCCGTGTCTCTCCATGTCTCCCCATATCTCCCCGTGTCTTTCTGCATCTCTCCATGTATCTCTGTGTCTCTCCACATCTCTCCGTGTCTCCGCGTGTCTCTCTGTCTCTGCATCTCTCTCTGTCTCTCTCCGACTTTCTCCGTGTCTCCCCATGTCCCCCCGTGTCTCCCCACCTATCCCCATGTCTCTCCGTGTCTCCCCGTGTCTCTCTGTCTCTGCATCTCTCCCTGTCTTTCGCCGTCTTTATCCGTGTCTCCCCGTGTCTCCCCGTGTCTCCCCACCTATCCCCATGTCTCTCCGTGTCTCTCCGTGTCTCCCCGCATCTCTCCGTGTCTCCCTGCGTCTTCCCGTGTCGTCCCGTGTCTCTCTGTCTCTGCATCTCTCCCTGTCTCTCTCCGTCTTTATCCGTGTCTCCCCACGTATCCCCGTGTCTCCCCACGTATCCCCGTGTCTCTCCGTGTCTCCCCGCATCTCTCCGTGTCTACCTGCGTCTTCCCGTGTCGTCCCGTGTCTCTCTGTGTCTCTCCACGTCTCTCCGTGTCTCCCCGTGTCTCTCCGTGTCTCTCCGTGTCTCTCCGTGTCTCCCCATGTCCCCCCGTGTCTCCCCACGTATCCCCGTGTCACGTTGTGTCACATCGTGTGCGAATGTGCCCCTTTGTGTATACGGCTTCTGCACGCTACGGACGATTGTGTCACATCGTGCCACTTTGTGTCACATTGTCTCACGTCATGCCACGTTGTGTCACATTGTGTCACGTTGTGTCACGTTGTGTCACGTTGTGTCACATTGTGTCACGTTGTGTCACGTTGTGTCACATTGTGTCACATCGTGTCACTTTGTGTCACAATGTCTCACGTCATGCCACGTTGTGTCACGTTGTGTCACATTGTGTCACGTTGTGTCACGTTGTGTCACGTTGTGTCACATTGTGTCACGTTGTGTCACGTTATGTCACATTGTGTCACATCGTGCCACTTTGTGTCACAATGTCTCACGTCATGCCACGTTGTGTCACGTTGTGTCACGTTGTGTCACGTTGTGTCACAGTGTTTCACATTGTGTCACTGTGTGTCACAATGCCTCACGTCATGCCACGTTGTGGCACGATGTGTCACATTGTGTCACGTTGTGTCACGTTGTGTCACAGTGTTTTACATTGTGTCACTGTGTGTCACAATGCCTCACGTGTCACGTTGTTTCACATTGTGTCACATTGTGTCACGTTGTGTCACATTGTGCCACTGTGTGTCACATTGTCTCACGTCATGCCACGTTGTGTCGCGTTGTGTCGCGTTGTGTCACGTTGTGTCACGTTGCGTCACGTTGCGTCACGTTGTGTCACGTTGTGTCAAGTTGTTTCACATTGTGTCACGTTGTGTCACAGTGTGTCACGTTGTGTTACAATGTCTCACGATGTGTCACATTGTGCCACGTTGTGTCACGTTGTGTCACATTGTGTCACTCTGCATCACTTTGCGTCACGTTGTGTCACGTTGTGTCAAGTTGTTTCACATTGTGTCACGTTGTGTCACGTTGTGTCGCAGGAGCGCGAGCACGAGGCTGAGGGCTGCGTCCACGTGGAGCGACACTCATTCGGTGCACGGCACCACCACCACCACCACCGCCACCACCACCGCCACCGCCATGGAGGAGGCGACCAGGAAATCAGCGACGCTCATCGAGAGGGAGAACATTGAGACGGGCAACGTCAGGACACGCTCGCAACACGCTTACAACATGCACATGGCGCGCTAGTGCGCCCGTGTACCCGTGCGTGCGACCCCCCCCGTGCGCATGCTCGCACGCTGGTGCTGACGAGCATGCGCCTGCAGTGTGTAGGGTTACCGGTGTGCGGGAGCGTACCCATGAGCCTGTGTATGTACCCGTGTGTGCGTGTATCCGTGTGTGTACCACGGGGAAAAAAAAAAAAAAACCAACCCCCTACCTCCTCGTGGTGCCGGATGGCAACGCTGTGGTGGGCAGTGCTGTGGGGGGAGGGCCAATTTTGACTTTTGGCCTTTCACTCAATGGCGTTTGTAAACACCACAGTGGCCAAATGGGGGCTCTGGACAAGTGGCAGGGGCTGGTAACCCATCCACCTTCAATTAATTACCACAAAACCACGTATAAAATATCTACTTTATAAGCTTGTGCCGGAGGGCCCGGGGGGACAGGCATCTATGACGTCTCCTGGCCAAACCCCATTTGGCGGAGCCAAGAGATTGAATCTTTACCCTCGGGGCTCCTCCAGAAACAACAAAAAGCCACTTCGGATGGAATGTTCGAACGCTCACTGCGGAGGAGAGGCTGCCACTCCTCTGTCGGGAGCTGGACCGGTACCGCCTGGATCTCTGTGGCATTCAGGAGGTCTGGTGGACCGGCTCTGGCTCCTGCCACCATGAGGGGTAGACAGTCCTCTACTCGGGGCAGGAGACTGCCAAACAACAAGGAGTGGCTCTTCTTCTGAACAAAGGAATGAAGGGGGTGTGGGAGCGTGGCGGTGAGGTGTGGGAAGCGGTAAGCCCCAGGCTACGTTGGGCTCACCTTCCCATAAACCGGAGGGGTAGAGTGTTGGTCATGGTTACTTGCAACTTGGATCATTACCTGTGAGATCTTCACTCAAAACTGCTCTAGAGGAGTTGTACACTCCTAGCTGCCACTACTATTCAGTGGCCCGAAATGAAATGTATCGCTCCGGATGACCGCTGAAAAGTATGATCTTGAGTTTTGATTATAGTGTGCTGATCTGTAAAGGTGCACTGAAATTTTTGTTATACTCCTACTGAGACTCCTGCTGTTATGGAGTGACTCATGCTGTCAGCTATGGCTGCAAAGTTTGGTCGTACATGTTATGTATGTATCGTTTATTGTTATATTTGAATCACAGTTCCTATGATCACTGTTACATTGTTTTCATAGCTTTATTTTGGTGATTTCGAAAACGTTTTGGTTTAGCCCTATTTGTTGTAGTACAGCGTTAGCCTGATGACTTTAATCTACATTGTCTTATGGTTGTTATTGTTTGACTCGCATCACACTGGGATTTTTGCACACAGCATTTATATACGGTGCTTTTTCTGGAAGACTTTGCTGTTTTTTCCTTGATTTTTTAGTTGCGCGTAGTCACTTTAAGATGTTTTTTTTGTTCATGTTTTTGTTTGTTGCGGTTGCACCCGATTCAAGAGCCGAATGGCTCACAGGGCTATACCTAATAAATTAACTGAAAATTAAATTAACTGAACTTATGCCCCCACCGAAGACGAACATCCATGGAGGGATGCAGGCAAGGCCGATGAGTCAGATGGTTTCTATGACCTCCTGTCACAGGTGGTAGCTAAAGTGGCCACTCGGGATAGAGTCATCCTGTTGGGCGACTTCAATGGAGTGATTCGAAGGCATGGGCCAGATCAGCTCAATAACAACGGTAGGAGGCTGCTCGATTTTTGTGCAGCTCATGGGCTTGTAATTACCAACATGCTGTTCCGGCATCGGCGCATCCACACAACATCCTGGATGCATGTTGGGTACAAGCAAGAACATGTGCTGGACTACGTAGTGACGGAACAGTGGATGCGGGTCCATGTCCTTGACACCAGGACCTACCGTGGAGCTGATCTGCCCACTGATCATCGATTTGTCATCTATAAGATGCGCCTGCCATTCTTCCACTCCAGTGGTGGGTGTAGACCCAGGGCTCCATTCAAACCCAAGGCGGCCTGGTCTCAGCGAGCTGATGAAAGTAGCAAACAAGAATGTAATCATTTCTTGCGGCTTGGGTTAGCATCGTCCCCCACTCCTCCAGATGTCGAGGGTAAATGGGCGAGGTTTAGCACTGTGGCTCATGCAGCTGCAATGGCTGCTTTGGGTACACGGTCCAGACCTCCTCAGATACCCTGGCTGATGGAGGAGGTGTTCAGGCTGGCTGAGAAAAAGCGAAAGGGCCAATCTCATAGTTTACAGCATCCCACGTCAGAAAATGAGGATTGCTGAGGAGATGGAGTCTGCCTCAGTGGCCCGCGATCACAAATCACTATTTAACTCCATCAAAAAAGTAACCTTCAGCGCCACACCTATTTTCATCATTTGGGGAAAAAACGATGATCCAATCTCCAACCCCCAGGAACAGGTTTGCAGATTTGCTGAGCTTTTCTGTGAAGTTCTGGGGGAGGGGAAATCCCTCGGCATGGAAAACAACATGGTACAAAGTGGGGATGACCCTGCTGAAGCTGCGGTGTCTCAAATGTCTCAAATATTGGAAGAAGAAGTCACCCCCTGTGAGTGGCTGGCTGAGGTGCAATCTGTTGAAGAAGTATTAAAGGCGATCCAGAGTCTAAGACCAGGAAAGGCACCGGGCAGAGATGATCTTCCAAGCGAAATGCTGAGGGAGGGTGGCGTTTGTGCACAGACTGCCCTACATGACATCATAACAACAGTCTGGACCACTGGAGGGGTTCCGCAGGATTGGAAGGATGCCCTGGTGGTCCCTCTTTTTAAGAAGTAGAACCGCACAAACTGTAACAACTACAGGGGCATCTCACTCCTCACTGTGCCGGGAAAGGTCCTGGCAAGGATTATTCAACATTGCCTTGCCAGCCACCCTGAGGAGAGGCTTGTGGAGCCCCAATGCGGTTTCAGGAAAGGACGGTCCTGCACAGATGCCATATTTTCTGTCCATCTGCTACAGCAGAGGTGTAGGGAATTCCAACAAGACCTACATCTCTGCTTTATTGACCTGGTCAAGGCCTATGATACTATCAGTAGGCCTGGGCTCTGGGTTGTTCTTCGTGCTTTCAGAGTCCCTGACCCTCTGCTCACGATCATTAAAGACATTCATGATGGTGAGCGGGCCCGGGGTAAAACTACGTGGCCGGGAGTTGGAGCCATTCCTTGTTCACCTTGGGGTGCGACAGGGATGTCTTCTGGCTCCCACATTATTTAGCATATTTGTCGACCATGTAGTTCATGAAGCCTTTGATGGCTGTACTGGAGGAATTTCCATCTTGTACAGATACAATGAGAGGCTAATCGATGCCTGGGAGAGGTCAAGGGATGGCTCCTTATTGCTCAACCACGTTATGTATGCCAATGATCTGGTAATTGCCGCTCACTCAGAGGAGGAGTTGGATGTGTTGCTTGCTGAACTTGGAGCGTGCCACTAAGAGGTGGGCCCTTACCATCAGCCCCACCAAAACTAAGCTCATGCCTGGGTATTTTGTACCATCGGACACTCCACCCCCACAACTCCCAATCGGTTATGGGGCAGTTGTGGAGAGAGTGGAGAGTTTCCCATACCTGGGCAGTGTGCTTATGACTGGCTCCAGTTTAACAGCAGAGGTCTCACTCCGAATCAGTCGAGCGGCAATATCTTTTCATCAGTTGTGTAACGCTGTGTGGAAGCTACCTGGTCTGTCGCTCCACACTAAGCTTCAGGTCATCTCGGTCACGGTCATTCCCTCCCTTCTCTACGCTTGCGAAATGTGGATCCCTTTGTCGGAGAAACATCTGCACTCGTTAAAACCGTTCAGGCTGGCATGCCTGCGATCCGTCCTGGGTTTAACCAGGCTGGATTGTGTGAGGAGCTCACAAATCCGTGAAATATCTGGACAATGTCCCATCGGTGAGCTTCTACAGCAGGCAAGGCTGCGTTGGCTGGGTCATGTAGCCCGCATGCCCAGTGACCGCATGCTTAAACAGCTTTTGTTCGGCCGGATAGACGGGGCTAGAGAAGAGATGGAGTGATGTGGTACAGGAGGACGTGGAGCTGAGTGGACTTGCCGATGACCGGTACCAGCAGTGTCAAGATCGGCCTCTGTGGAGGAGGCTCGTGAAGGACGCTGCTACTGGGCAGTTGGAGGTAGTCGCCCTCCAACAACAATGGAGGGCGGAGGAGCGACGCTCAGAACAACGAGCGGAGCGCCGGGTGGCTAAAGCGCAGCAGGTTGGCACAGTAGGGAGGGCACAGGTGGTGCATCGGCCACTCATCTCAGTCAGCCGACCCGTGGCACCTGCTGGGTCTGCCCCGTGACCTCCTGCCGGCGTGCGTTCTGACACTTCACGCGGCCTCGACGTGCACCTAGCCTGGCATAAGAATCGTGGTGACGTCACCGCCACTTAGAGGCGAATGGCGGTTGCTGTACCCCGTGCGTGTCTGCGCGCGCGTGCAGGTGAAGATGCGCGTGTACCTGCAGTACGTGCGCGCCATGGGCCCAGTCTTCCCGCTGCTCATCCTCGCCGGATACTTCTTGCAGACGGTCGCCTCCATAGGGCAGAACTTCTGGCTGAGCGCGTGGACGGCCGACGCTCTGAGCACCGTCAACGCCACCGCCGGCAACGCCACCGCCGGCAACGCCACCGCCGCCGCCGCGGCCAAACCCACGGTCAGCGCCGGCGTCCGTATCGGGGTCTACGGAGTGCTTGGACTCGCGCAAGGTCTGTCGTTCTGCTTCGCGCTCTCTCTCTACACCGCCAAACACCACCCACCCAACACACCCACCCTACTCACTCACCCACCCACTCACCCACCCACCCCACCCAACACACCCACCTACTCACCCACCCACCCCACCCACTTACTCACCCAACACACCCACCCACCCCACCCACCCACTCACCCAACACACCCACCCAACACACCCACCCACCTACTCACCCACCCACCCCACCCGCCTACTCACCCACCCACCCAACACACCCACCCACCCCACCCACCCCACCCACTCATCCCACCCCACCCACTCACCCAACCCACCCAACCCCACCCACCCACCCAACCCACCCACCTTACCCACCCACCCGCCCCACCCACCCGCCCCACCCACCCACCCACCCACCGTACCCACCCACCCAACCCACCCAACCCACCCACCCAACCCACCCAACCCACCCACCCACCCAACCCACCCACCCACCCACCCAACCCACCCACCCACCCCACCCCACCCTACCCACCCACCCTACCCACCCACCCTACCCACCCAACACACCCACCCACCCCACCCCACTCTACCCACCCACCCTACCCACCCACCCTACCCACCCACCCTACCCACCTACCCGCCTACTCACCGGGCGCCTTCTGAAGGCCACGCCGGGGGGCCCCCCTCTCCGTGCGTGTCACTCCCACAGGCATGGCGGTGTTGCTGGGCTCCGTGATGACGGCCGTGGGCACCATCCGGGCGGCTCGGGTCCAGCACAGCGGCCTCCTGCACAACGTCCTGCGCCTGCCCATGGCCTTCTTCGACACGACTCCCATGGGGCGCATCGTCAACCGCTTCGCCAAGGTGGGGCCTCGCTCGCCCGCTAACTCGCTCGCCTACCGCTGACCCGCTCGCCTGCTCGCGCGTACGCACGCTCGCTCGGCCGCCCGCAACGCTCGCCCGCTCGCTCACTCGGCCACTCACTCACCCGCTCACTTGGCCACCGCACACTCACCTGCTCACTCGGCCACTCACTCGCCCGCTCACTTGGCCACCCGCACACTCACCTGCTCACTTGGCCCCTATCCAGCCTCGGGACTTCCCTTTAATGCGCCCCGGCGTGGCCTGGCTCCGCACTCGGCCACGCCCCCTTAATGGAACCCACCAGAAGGTTCTGGGCCACCTTGCACGTGTTCCCTGCCTGGCTCCGCCCTCGGCCACGCCCCCTTCACGGAACCCACCAGAAGGTTCTGGGCCACCTTGCACGTGTCCCCTGCCTGGCTCCGCCCTCTGCCACGCCCCCTTCATGGAACCCACCAGAAGGTTCTGGGCTATACCCCACGTGTCCCCTGCCTGGCTCCGCCCTCGGCCACGCCCCCTTAATGGAACCCACCAGAAGGTTCTGGGCCACCTTGCACGTGTTCCCTGCCTGGCTCCGCCCTCGGCCACGCCCCCTTCACGGAACCCACCAGAAGGTTCTGGGCTATACCCCACGTGTCCCCTGCCTGGCTCCGCCCTCGGCCACGCCCCCTTCACGGGAACCCACCAGAAGGATCTGGGCTATACCCCACGTGTCCCCTCGGTCACCTTTGGCCCCACATCCTTTACCCCGGCCTATCACGTGCTCCACCAGCCGTCCGCGGTGCCGCGTCCTCACGTGGCCCCTTGTGCCAGCAGCCAGCGCCACGCGCCGCTGCGAGCCACTCCGTGGCATTGCTCTGCCGGCGGAACGGCCGCCACACCGCGGCTCTGCCGGCAGGTCGGCCGGCAGGCCCCCGTGGCCCTCTCTCTGTCAGTAACCAGCGCCACGCGCCGTAGTGAACCATCCCACGTCACTGGCACATGCACACAATGCTGGTCTGCGCATATGGGGGGAGCGCTGGTGTAGCGGCTAGCGCTACGCTGGGCCACGAACCCGGCGGCCCGGGTTCGATTCCCCCGCACG